AAGAGTAGAACCCCACCATTAGGGGCACAATAGAAGCTGGTTTAGCTGGGGATGTAGCTTACTTGTTAGAGTGCTGACCTAGTGTGCAAAGCCCTGGGTTTGATCCTGAGCACAACATAGAACTGGTTCCAAAATGCCAGGCACGAGGGTCAGAAGTTCAAGGTCGTCCTTGGCTAGTAAGTTCGAGTCCAGTCTAGTATGAGCGTGACCCTGCTTTGAAAGGGGAGGAGGAGAGGAGAGGAGAGGAGAGGAGAGGAGAGGAGAGGAGAGGAGAGGAGAGGAGAGGAGAGGAGAGGAGAGAAGAGAAGAGAAGAGAAGAGAAGAGAAGAGAAGAGAAGAGAAGAGAAGGAGAGAAGATGATGTGTGGTAGAAGGGACAGCAGAAAAATGTATCCAGGCAAACAAAAAGGAAGAGACCAATTTAATGAAGGGAAAGGAAGAGGCAAGAGAAGGAGGCAAGAGGAGGTGCAACGGTCAGGAGTGATCCCAGAAATGACAAGATGGGAATATCTTTTGTGAGGGAGGAGTATGGTTTCAATCCCTTTTAAAGAGACTACATAAACAACAAGACTTACACATTAACTGTTCTAAAATTGTGTACGGAGGAGCAGAGGAAAATGTGTGCTTGGGGTCAGAAGCTATGCAGAGTTCTGAGGACTTCTGCATCCACTCTGAGTTAACCTCAAAGGTTGTCGTGAGACTTTGCTCTGGGAAATAAAAGCAAAACCAAACACTGGTGTCTTCTTGTGATGCAGGATCTTTCCTGTCTGGAAAAGATGCCTTTCTTCAGCTCTTGCCAAGTCAGTCCACAGTCGGTCACGTCCTGGTGTCTACATGTGTTTATTAAAATAAACGAGGAGATAGAAGGCAGTAATTCAGAGCAGGAGCAGGTAAACCACCTTGTTCGTACGTGGTGCATCTCAATATTCGGGAAGTTAAGTTTTAATAAAAATTTGGAATATATATATATGTATATATATTTGGTAATATGTATAAGTGAACAAGAAAGGTATCAAGATGTTTGCTGAGCTATGCCAAGGCTTATGCTTGAACGTGTCTAACAGCATTGGCTCCTAACACCAGGGGTCTGAGTTAAGGGTTATTTGAAAGTCGGTATCTATTGATAAAAAGACAGATTTCTAATACTTGGTCACCACCTGAAAGAAACGCAGACAGGAGGTGTTGGGAGATGCCATTGTTCATGCTACCATGGGCATTTAAGACTCCTGTCTACAAGAGGAAATTGGTGAGCCCAGATCTTTGGTCCCCTCTTTTCTCTGATGTGTTACCATGTCTGAGGACGAAGGGCATTGTGGCTTTTGTCCAGCTGTGCTCAATACTCAAGCATTCAGCAGAAAGAGCAACCCCATTGGTGGGCTTCATTACTGGGGGGAATTCTGTGTGCTGGGAGGAGAGCCACCAATTCATCTCATATACATTATTTCTCCAGGAAACACAGCATAATTGAGGACAATTTTCCACCATGAATTGCATCATTAGCTAACACAGGGAAAGTGAGATGCTGTTAACTTTCCTTTTTCTTCCACAAAGCTGATGAGCTGAAGAAAATAGAAATGAAAAGTTTAATGCTATTTTTTTTTCCCGCTTGCCAAGGATATATGTTGAGAATCAGAATCAAAACACTTTTACACGGTAATAGAAATCCCACATTTTAATACATTGCCATGCACATAAGGAATCCAATAACGCCGAATACAAAATAGTCAAATATACAAAATGAGAAAGCCGATTTTCAAGCCTGAGAGAGATCATGCTCACGGATACAAGTGGGCAGAAATCTGTACAGTTTTATTTTTATCAATTTAAAAAGACTCACGCCCCGTCCTAGTCTTCGTGAAGAAAACCCAAAATAGAAAGAAATAGTCTAAGAAAATATAAAGGGGACCCAAAGGGAATTGGCAAGGTGGTAGCTGCTCAAGATATGTAAGTCAGTGGCTCAAAATTGTGGTGCACAATAAATCTTATGTTTAGAGAGGAAATGTTTTCTAAACATCGGATACCATGGAGCCCAGGAATGTGGACATCCAGGGGAAAAGGCACTCTTGTTTTTGCCACATAATCTAATTGTGTCTTTCTAAGTCTGGGCCTGGAACCCTTTCTGGAGTGAAAAAGAAAAGAAAAAAAGTGAACAAAGGAAAAAAAGCAGAACAATTGTGGGTAATGGATAAAGGAAATTCCAATTTAATGAACCAATCTTGGGAGCCCAACACAATTAAGACCACTGCTCTAACTAACTGTGCACTTAAGGAAGCTTTAATGTCTTCAGTCTCTATGGACTACTATGGTATGAAATGTGCTTTTTAGTCTTGCTGTTCAAAGAATGAACCAGTCTTTTTTCTTTTTTTCTAAACTGGATTTCTTCCTTCTGACTTTGTTATTTTAGGAGAGAGGCATTTTCCTTCCTTTCATCTTTTGCAGTGCTGGAGCTTGAACCCGGGTCCTTCCATACGTTAGGCAAGCACTCCACCACGGAACTACAACCTCCACTCCCTCAGACTCTGTAGAGCTCATTGCTGTTCTGTTTAATATTTACCAAGTGGTTTTTTTCCCCCTTATTTCTTTCCTAGAACAAATACTAAGCTGCAATAGCACCTGACCAAGGAAATCTGCCATGACTATGTGATTCTTGATGCCCTCAGCTTGCCAACTGCACATGCTCTACGGCCTTGTTCCGTCTGAAGTTTGGGAGTCTTTGCCTGTCCCCGTCTCTGGGTAGGTCACTGTTCTCTGAACCTTGGAGAGAGGGAGTGGTGATAAAAAGGATGCTGCCACTGAAGAAAAGGCTTGTGTGTGTCGGTATCATTATCTCTCTCTCTCTCTCTCTCTCTCTCTCTCTCTCTCTGTGTATGTGTGTGTGGTGTATCTGTGTGTGTCGGTGTCATTATGTCTGTGTGTCTGTGCCTGTATGTCTGTGTGTTGCGTCTCTGTGTGTCCAACCACTCATGTGTGTGTGTGTGTTCACACACACACATGTAAAATACCATGTATTACTTTCTCATTCTTCCTTTTCTTCTTTTAATCCTGAGTGGAGGCTTGGTAATAATAGTTTTTGAAGAATAAAAAACAAAAGACGAGGAACAGTATCATTAACCAAGCCCTTTACCCAGTTTGCCACAACAATTATCTGTAAATATGTGGTATGGGAAAACTTTACCCTTTAGACCTTTCTTGTCTTCAAACAACCCTGTCTGCTGAGGGACAGAGAACATCCCAGAAAGGCTAAGGCCCAAAGCCCCCAGCAATTGCTATTACGCCATCATTCTTGAATTCAAAACAGTTTCTTTTCCTTTATCAGTGAAGTGCCAATCTCTACAAAACCCTAAGAATAATGCAAGTATATAAACCACAGCAGATCAATAGTTTCTTTTCTCAGGTGCTTTTTACTGCTAATCTGTAATTTTGTTCCAATATCGATCTTTTCTAAAATTTCATGTAAAGCTATTTAACTCAGTGCCTAATAATATTAAATAGTTGGATTAACTAGACCTACAGTAGTGCGATTCAGGGGCGCAAGACTTTCAGTAGAATGAGTTTTAAAACCACTGCACGGCCTTGGCTGTTCAGCAGGCTGGCTTCTGTTCTCATCATCACTAAGCTGCACAATGCAAATTAAAGGGCCTGGTCTTATTCAGTTCTCGGCAATGTGAGTTTCTTCTATCAGGCAAACCTCAGCCTCCTTCAGCGTGGCATTCGTAGGACATTGCTTTCGGCTAGGAGAGGAGAGATGGTGTAGGTAAACTAGGCAGAGCCCCACCATTGCCCAGTGTGAGTACAAGAATGGGGTCAACACCCTTGTAGAAGCTAAGGTTTCAGTTGCTGGTGATCTGAGGTAGGAGCGGGATAAGTGTGAAAAAGACGGCCTGGGGATGTGACTCATTGGTAGAACACTTGCCTAGCAGGCCAGAGGCCCTGGATTCAATTCCCAGGGCTGCAAAACAAAACAAAGCAAAACACAAACAAACAAAGGCTTTAGCAATTTGAACATAAATAGCCATCAGCAACTAACATGACCTTCAAGGTTTCCATCAGTACCAGGGGTCTTTTCAATTGAGTTGATTAATTTTTCGAGACAGGATCTCATGTAGCCATAGCCCAGAACAGTTTCAAGATGGCTACGCAGTCCAGGATGACCTTGAACTCTTAATCTTCCCTTTCCTCTTTCTCCCAAGTGCTGGCATTGTGGGCACAAACCACTCTACCTGGTTTAGGTGGGGCTAAAGATCCAGTTTAGGGCTTTGTGTACGCCGTCAAATTAGTAACATCTTCAGCTCCAGCAGAGACTTTTTTTTAGAAGAATTGGCATACGCTTCACCTGTGATGTGGGAGGAATACACGCCCATCTTGAGTTAACTGTATGGCATCCAGACAAGGAATTGCCCCAAACCTTCTGAGTTTGTGGTCAGCTCCCAACGAGGTTGGATTAGGGGTGTGTGTGTGTGTGTCTGTGTGTGTCTGTGTGTGTGTGTCTGTGTGTGTGTGTATCTGTGTGTGTCTGTGTGTGTGTGTATCTGTGTGTGTCTGTGTGTGTGTGTCTGTGTGTGTGTGTGTCTGTGTGTGTGTGTCTGTGTGTGTGTGTGTGTGTCTGTGTGTGTGTGTGTGTCTGTGTGTGTGTGTCTGTGTGTGTGTGTCTGTGTGTCTGTGTGTGTGTCTGTGTGTGTGT